CTAGAACTGTGAATTTCCAGAACTGTCACAGCAACTATGAAAGTCCCCAAATGCTCTGAAAAGAAAGCATCCTGGCCTGTACCAGAAACAGTGTAGCCAGCAGGAGTAGGGAAGTGATTGTGCCTCTGTCCTCGGCACTGGTGAGGCCGCACCCTGAGTTCTGTGTTCAGTTTTGGGCCCCTCACTACAAGAAGGACATTGAGTTGCTGGAGCGTGTGCAAAGAATGGCAACAAAGCTGGTGAAGGGCGCTGACTACTCACAATCAACCTCTTGTTCTGTATATTTGTAAATGGTTTCCAGGTCTATTTGCTCCATCACCTTCCCAGGGGTTGAGCTGAGGCTAACAGGCCTATAGTTCCCCAGATCCCCCTTTCCCTTCTTGAAGTTAGTAGTGACAATTTATTTCTTTCAGTCTTCAAGAACATAATCTGGTTGCCATGATGTTCCAAAGACAATTGAGTGACCTGGCAATGATATTGGTCAGCACCAGCTTGTTTAGTACTCATGGGCACATCTTGTCAGGTGCCAACAACTTGTACGTGTCCAGCTGGTTCAAATGATGCCTGATCTGATCATCCTTTGCTGAGTCATTGCTCCAGACTTTCTCTCTGGTCATCAATGCACTCCAGAAACTGACTGGATTGTTTGTGCCCACTCATCCAGCAGATATCAGGATGGTTCAAGCTCCCCATGCAAACTAGACCCTGTGAAAGTGAATCTTCTTCCAGTTGTTGGAAGAAGGTTTCATCTGCTTCTTCTTCCTGATCAGGAAGTCCATAGCAGGCATCCACAACAACATGACATTGATTGGCCATCTAATACTGACTCATAATCTTTCATCTCCAGGCAGAGCTCCCGGCTCTCTCACATAAAGGGCAATGCCCCTTCCTTGCTATGTTTCCATGGAACACAGTGCTCCAGTAATGTGAGCTATCCTACCATATGCCTGTGATCTTGATGAGATCATAGCCTTGCAGCTTCACAATGTACCTCTAATTCCTTGTTTGTTCTCCATGCAATAGCACACAGGCCATTCAGAGAGCCACCCAACTGTATTGATCTCCCAGAAAAGGTATAAGAGTCTCTTCTCAAGCATCTCCTTATTCATGTGCATACGCTCAAGGTGAGCTCCTTTTTGCCCCGTTTTGTTGATTATGAGGTCCTGCCTGTCTACATTACTGTTCAACCTCTGCTTGCCAACTCATCAACCACTTCCTCACTTGTTCACGTGTTGTCATTTTGCTCCCCTGTTGTCCCTGACTCAAAGCTCAAGTGTACTAGCGCTAAAGTTCTAGTGTACTGAAAGAATAACAGCTACAGGCAAATTGTATGTGCTGTTTTGGAAATTGTGAATGAACAAGTTCATCAGAGAGGGCCAAAAAAGTTGTTTTTCTTCAGTAATGTACTGAGAACATACCTGAATGCCAAGAAGCGTATATAAGTTTGAGAAACAAGCCATTCAGTGGCATGGTATAATACGTGAAAGAAATTGTGACTGGTTTAAGTCCACTGTTACAACCTATTATACTGTCCTCTTTTTAATAATTTCCTATTCAAAATATTTTAATTAAACTTAAGCATTCAATTAAGCAAAGCATGTAAACCAGATGAAAATATAGCACATACATAACTACATTATTGTATACCAGACATTTATTAAGATACTAAATATAATTCTTACTAAAGATGTGATACTAGCAAATACAGTTCTTACTAAAGATGTGATTTGCAAATTTAAAATGAGGAATAACTGTTCCTAATGCAGGGAATGTTTGAAATTCAGATACACAGACAGAAATTCACCTTAAATGTAGTCATCTAGTCTTTCATATACTTGGCAGATTTTGTTTAATCAGATTAAGGTGAAACATTTTATGGTAGACAAATTGACAAATTCTCCAGAATAGAAATCTCCAGCTCACCTCCAGCATGCATGACAGTTCCCTCCTTGACTTCACCAAGAAGTCCAGGTACCTTTGGTATCTTTGCACAAAAGGTCTCTAATGAAAAATGATGCAACGACATCATTGGGAATAATTTTTAATGAAGTGAGCAAATGTCCTTCTTTTGTCTGCTCAAGCCTATACAGTGCTGACTAAGCACCATGTATTTAATATAGATATTTATTTATCAGTCACTTACATTAAACCACAAAGAATTTCCTTCTGCTTCATTTAGGATATGAGAAACGTTCCCAAGTCATATACAGTAAAATCTGTAGCATATGCAGGCACAAAGGATTGCCTGACTGTATTATGAATGCATAAAGATCATGACTGATCAAAGTAAACCTCCATAAAGAACAACTGGTAATCTGACTTCAATCATGAAATACACACCAACTCCAAATGCTATAGCAAGCCAAATTCATAAGGCTGATTCAAGTCAAAAGTTCTAGAACACTTTGTTCCCAAAATTCAGGGAACGTTTTGTTCCCAGATCAAAAATTCCTGATATTTTCCTGCACTTCCACCAGAAAGCATGGCAGTCAACCAGACTTCCCAGAATAGTAACATGAAAGACATTTGGAATAATTTCATATGCAGACTAGTTTATTCACACATAGCCCTTTTTTATAACATCCACCTGAAAATGCTAAACAAATTAGAAATTAAGAATCTGTTTTATATACTTATATTTAGAACTTGCATCAATCATAATTCCCTCTTACTGCATATTGGAAGTGTTAATCAACGAAATCTCCAGACTGAAGATTAAGTAATGATATTTTTCACGCATGCTATGTCACAGCTTTCTGACAGGTAATTCGATTACAAATATACTGTAGAAATGAAATTAGTCTTCTGGCTTAAAAGGTTTAGACACAGTCTTGTCATTGATTAAAGGAAAGCAAAGATTTGATTTCATTCTCCCTATGTTACAAACTTCTTCAGCATGCTCATGTTTCCTTTTACTACAAAACTTTAAATTTGAGAGTTTTGACCCAAAGAGCAGCTATAGTAATTTGAACATTGAAGAGCACAATGTAATTCGAATATAAGTGGAGTTACTCACTAAAAATTCCCCAAAACCCCACAAATTTTTACACATTTACAGCTAATACCCATACACTTTAGAGCCATGGGATAAAGAGATGTGTTTCCATGTTTTAAAATCTTTACTGCTTGAATAAAGAAATAACTATTTATAAACCTAGGATAATACGGAATGCATTGTCTGAACTGATAGAATCTCAAATCTCCAAAATTGAAAGAGAAGAAAGAGATTGATTGATTCTGCCTGGATTGATAGGGAAAAGGCATCAGTTAGCTTTTTAAAGGAACTTTCCTCTCTTAGGATTTGGGAGGAAAGGACAGGAAGCTGTTTGTGCTGTCAGAACTTGTGGTGTAGTTATTGGATATAAACTACACTCACGATGACCTGAAACCTCTGTCCTGACATTTAAAAGTAAAGATATTTTATACAAAATTACAACAAAAGTTTGCTTTCTTAATGATAGCCCTGAAGATGGCAGTATCTTGCATTTTTTAATGTCTAGGAGGTAAATTTCTATCACTTTTCACAGATGCATTAATGTGAGGGATGATGGGTCTGCTCCCATGGCAGACACTTGGTTTTGTACGCTACGTCAGCTAATCCTGCTACTCATTAGAATGGAAGAGGTTGAACGAGAGCAAGGATTTGACCTTAGGTTTCCCACTTTCCAGCCTCACATGAGGTTAGCCGTTGTCCTGGTTCTGATATTTGTGATCAGACATTCTGAACTCAAAGAACATTTCTGATAAAATCTGTTAAACACATAGATATTTATGGGAAAAAATCCTATTTTGTTCAGCCTGACAAAGATACCATGACAGGGCCTAGCTGAGAAAATTCAATGTCTACAAAATACAGGTATTTTGGTATGATTAAAGCCCTCTGTAAGAGACAAGTACTGAAAAGCTAGGACATAACAAAATGCAGTATTTAAACACATGAATTGAAATAACCTTAAATACTTGAATAACTTTAAATACATTTACAGTTCGACCACAGTGTTATGCTGGATTGTGGATTACTGCAACTGTCAGGCTATAATTTAATCAATCTGAAACACGACATTGTTTGGATAGCATTGTAATTTTTTGTTAACACAAAAGCTAGTGGAGCTAGTTCGTATATAAAGGTCAGTTTCTGAGTTTCCTAAACATCCCTTCCCATTGCATGAACAGATCAAAAAGCCTACAGCTGAACTTCTCAGACAGTGAGTCTATCTAGAAATGTTCTCAAGTACTAAATGATGCCATCCAGACTTTTTATCAGACTGATTTCCTCCATAAGGATACTTCTTTTAACAGTTACTAATTATTCTTGTGTCTTAAAACACTCAAAGACAAATTTCTGAGAGTTCAGACACTGGTAGATTTAATCAGACTACCAAGCCAATCCTACAGCCATTATAGCTGGTTGGAGTTTTGCCATCAAGTTAAATGATGAAAGGAACCAATCTGTGTATCTAAAAAAGCACTAAATGGAGAATATATTAAGAATGAAAGAGATATTTAGTTATTGATAATGCAAATGAATTAAACTACTTTTGAATGAGATATATCAAAATTACTATAATACTTGTTTCAAAGCTAGCAATTTATCATATGCATGAAAACAGGAAAATAAAGGCAGGTAGGCAGGGAAAGAAAAACACAGATTGAAAGAAGAACAAAGCTTTTATGTAAGAAAACTATTTAGATGAAAAATCTAGTAATATTTCTGCCATAATACTTTATTGGTGTATAGATTACACTGAGATGATAGTGTGTGTTCAAGTTCCACTTGCCACAAATCCATTATCTCCTCATGGGAAGTTTGCTTTCTGTTTTAGATGCACAACTGCAAAAATATTGCAATCTTAGGCTAGCAATGGAAGACAGTTTATATGTGCACAGACATTTTTCATAAATTCTTATGTTGTGGTCATCTGATGTCAATAATTTCTGGTTGTATTTTGGCACTAAATGAAAGAGGGTGTGATACAATTGAAGCTGCACTGAGAACTCACCTGATTCTGCCCCGAGGGCGTTCAGATTGCTCTGACATAAAACTTGTGCTGCTGAGGCGTGAGGCACTGCTGGTTCGGGAAATGGCTGACACATCACTGACATCACTATCTGATGATTTGGCAGAGACGTTATCACAACTTCTGTACTGATCTGTTTGTATATTATACTAGAGATCAAGAAAAGAAAGGGTGAGGAGTCTCATCAAAACACAACGCACATATTGAGACAACAAATGACCTAGAGTATGTTAATTCTAACCTCTTTTAGAACTAACAAAATTCGATGAAATTCAGAGAAACACCTATATTAAATAATGTCTTTTTATCTAGTAAAGAAACCAAACATGGTATTTATGGACTAAATAAGACACTTGAAATAAATTACAGCATTGGAACTGAAATAGGCTGCTAGTTCTTCAGTACACTATAACTAATAATGAAATATTTATACACTGGACAGACATCTCAAGCACAGGTAGACCATCTATTTGGCTACAGACCTTTTTTCAATTTTTCAAATGTTAAAAAATATGCTACGAAATACTGTACAGACTTAGTTTGGAACAGGAGAACTGTGTATGAATCTGGATGAACTGTAATGCTACAAGAAGCTGACACTAGGAATTCATTTTGATACCTAAGTTTTATCAGAAAAGGAAAAAAGTACATTTTCTACTGCAAAATACCTCTTTGTATCATGAGACTAGAGGAGTAGTCAGACAGAAAGATAACTCGGCAAAAATAGTATTGTTTTCAGACAGATCAGTGCCCTAATCTAGTTGCTGTTACAAGCACACATGTGAGAACCAGCAGAAGACCCAGCAGGAGGAATACAAGGCCAGGGGTAGAAATTTTTACCCTTTTGTTAACAGTAGAAGCTTTGATTAGTTAAAGCCAACTGCAACACTACACCACTTATTACATAACGCTCATATTACTCACATCGTCCATCAGACACATAAAAAGGGAACTGGGATTGTTTAGTCTGGAGAAAAGGAGGCTGAGGGGAGACCTTAATGCTCTCTACAACTGCTGGAAAAGAGGTTGTGGTGAGGTGGGTCTTGGTCTCTTCTCCCAAGTAACAAGCAATAGAACAGGAGGAAATGGTCTCAAGTTGTGATAGGGGAGGTTTAGATTGAATATCAGGAAAAATTTCTTAACTAAAAGAGTTGCCAAGCATTGGAACAGGTTTCCCAGGGAAGTGGCAGAGTCACCATCCTTAGAGGTATTTAAAAGATGTGTAGATGTGGTGCTTAGGGACATGGTTTAGTGGTTGACTTGGCAGTACTAGGTTAACAGTTGGACTCAATGATCTTAAAGGTCTTTTCCAACCTAAATGATTCTATGAAAAGGAAGCTTCAATCCTAGCAATGTCACACTTAGCTAAATCTTCAGTCACACAGATATGAGGTTAAAATAATTGTCAGATTTACAAAACAAAAACCCACTATCATTAGAGAGCAAGGTACCCTTGGCTGGAAAGCAACTAAACTAATGGAATACTTCCCAGGGCATATTATGGGAAAACTATTAACATGTGGGAACACTATACAGTTTTTGACAAGACACTCTGGGGAGTTCACATTCCAGATCTGTGCTCTGTAAAATTAAAATTGCAAGTCATAAAAGTTTATTTATGAATTATATACAAAGCTGTGACAGTCTGTGAACATCCCCAGCTCAATTAGGTTGTAGGCTGAGTCAGTTGGCAAATGTCATGACTTAAATTTAAAGCCTGGCAAACACAAGCTTGGGTTTGTATGGATGAATGTATCAGGTCTCCATTCTTCAAGATGCTTCTATTGCTGTGGTGCCTTTCAGTAACTATGTTTTGAGGTCTACACAGCACACTTAGAAATCACTTGGTAAAACATCTAAGATAAGATGAGGAAGTTAATGGGAGTAGAGAAGGGGAGGGAATAAAGAGGGTACTATGCACTGACTGTAAACATAGAAATCTGTAGAAGAAATGAAGGTTATACAAACTTAGTGTCTCAGTGTGTGTTTCAGGGTTACTCACTGCTCCTGGAAGGCATAAGCCAAGATTAAAAACATGAATCAATTTATAAATAAAAACCTGGTGGTTTGACCTGAGGAGTGTGCACTGAGGAATCTCCTAGCAACACCTTGGAGGTGCTTGCACCAGCTGACTGAATAAAAATATCTGCAGGATAGAAAGCTCTGGTTCACTAAAGGTAAATTTTCAGCTTCCAATACTAAATGAAACTGCAGATAATTTCAGAATAGCTTGGAGCATCATGACTTTGAGCTCAAATAACATGTTTAACAGGCACTGACATGGAAACAGATGCAGCAGAACTCTGATTTAACAAAGTGGGTGACACAGGGGATTCAAGAACTCCAATATTTAAAAATATTTTCAACTACAGCAAGAATTTATTTAAAGATTCTCTTTCCAAGTGACTTTGTGTGATGTATCTGAATATAAACGACCAATGGAGTTAAGGTGAGACTGTGCTGATTTATTCAGACCACCTTTTAGAAATGGCTTGTAGAGTCTGTTAAATACTTTTGTTGCTTTCCCTCTTTGAGACTGCAAAATAAACCTCTCTGAAATGGAAATACAAAGCACGCTAATTCTTATCAGCTCTACTTCATAATAACAGAACGTTTAAATTTCTTTAGATTACATATTTTTCTTCTAAAGTCTAAAAAAAAAATTCAAAGCAAGAATTAAAGCTATTAAAACTCTTTACTCATGCTAAGCATAAATGTTCAGAGGCTGGAAAATGTAATGGTTTATTTCCATGGGACTTTGAATGGAGTCCCTCAGGGGTCAGTACCGGGACCAGTACTATTCAATATATTCATCAATGACCTAGATGAGGGAACAGAGTGCACTGTCAGCAAGTTTGCTGATGACACAAAGCTGGGAGGAGTGGTTGACACACCAGAGGGCTGTGCTGCCATCCAGCGAGACCTGGACAGGCTGGAGAGTTGAGTGGGAAGAAATTTAATGAAATATAACAAGGGCAAGTGTAGAGTCTTGCATCTGGGAAAGAACAACCCCAGGTTCCAGTATAGGTTGGGGGACCTACTGGAGAGCAGCATAGGGGAAACGGACCTGGGGGTCCTGGTGGAC